AAATGCTTGGACTCTGGTCTTCAAACTTCCAAATATGCAGCAATTTGGAAATCCATGCACAGTTTCTTAGTTGCTGTCCATGTTTTTGCCTAACTTCTCAGTAACAGCATGGTTTTATAGAGCAGGACAGTTAAAAACAGGGTCGGACTCGGTGTCCAATGAGGGCTTTCCAAGAATGTTCTGTCTTACGGCCCCAGATTGCAAGAGAACAAGACCTTTGTAATGAAATGCCATGATGCCAGAAGATTCCTTACCCGCTTTGTGGCTATGGGTTGTGGCGGAGACTGACATGATGTCATTCTTCCTGGAAGAGATCTGCTTTTCCCGGGCAGTAGGCTGTGCAGGAATAGGGTACAGGAGAGTAGGGTACAAGGCTGTTGAGCAAGTTGGGCAGGACATTGGGAGCAATAGCTTTTATGCAACAGGAAGCCAAGGGAAGCATAGAATCATAGGATGCTTTGGGTGCGAAGATGCTTTGGGTGGGAAGGGACCTTTAGAGGCCACCCAGCCCAACCCCCTGCAGTGAGCAGGGACATCTCCAGCCAGCCCAGGGTGCTCAGAGCCCCGTCCAACCTGGCCGGGAATGTTTCCAGGGATGGGGCATCGACCACCTCTCTGGGCAACCTGTGCCAGTGCCTCACCACCCTCAGTGTAAAAAATTTCTTCCTTATGTCCAGTCTAAATCTATTCTTGATAAGCAGTTGAGTTGTTGTGCATCTTGCTTTTCCCACCAGAGGAAAAATTTGGGGGCACTGAGATACATTAATACAGCTTATTTAGGATTTTTTAAAACAAGATGGCATTGCTCGTCTCCCTGCTGCACTGACAGGGATGCTGGAAGCTGTGATGAGTCCAGCACTAGTTTGCTTGGCATTTTTTACACTGCCGACTCTAAAACCTGAAGCCAGCGCTCCATCCAGAGTGTCTGCTGTATGGCTGGGGGTCCCGGGCTCCCTGCTGAGGTCCCCGACGGCGGGACGATGTACGTTGGCTCCCTTGGAGGGTACCGTGGCAGCCAGCCAGGCAAACTGCTGGATGTCAGCGTTCCCTCATTTCACTGAGCTCCTGGCAGGAAGCCCAAAACATTTTGATTTCAACAGATCTCTGCTGGTTTGTTCTGGGTTTTAATCAAAGCCTTTTTAAATGGAGAAGATGCCAGCCAAAGGTAGTTCTGATTTCAGCTCCAACTCTTGCTAAAACCTCTGCCTGTTTGTTCATGTGTGAAAGTAGTGCCCAAAGTCTGTATAGGGCCAAACACAAGAATAGGCAGCGTCACAGTCAAAAGGATTTGAAAATGGGAATGATGATACTTATTTCTCCAAGCTGTTGCGAGGCTTTGTTAATCATTTCACGGTGCTTTAGGCGTCGGGTTTGATGTGTGAATTCTCGCTCAGTAAAATGTGTATCAAACACTGACAGTCCTAGTGCCATTCATGTTTATATTCAGTAATGATTCAGGCTCTTGAAAAATCATGTTCAAATTACATGTTCTGTAGCTTTAATTTCCTGTTGCTAACAAGGGAATGATTTGCAATTTCTTGTTTGTCCTCCTCTATGCCATCGCCTGGAAGCATTGCTCAGTTACCATGCTGAGTTTCACAAGCAAAGCTGCCTTTTTTGTATTGTCTAGTTCCTAAATCTCATGGCTTTCAACATTTCTCTCTAAAAAATACTTTCTGAACATTTTTATGCATATGTACCCTAGCACAGGATTTGAATAGCCTCTCAGAGGCTCAGTTAACATAGGACCAATATATATTTATTGCATAGGATTAGCCTATGATGTTCGAGAACCACGTTGCATTCCTGTTTCCCCCCTGCCCAACCCCTCCTAGAAACCTACAACCAGAAAACTATTTTTCTTAGCATTGTTCATGTCAAATGTTAAAATTCTGGCGCTGCTGCCAGAATTTGTGCTTTTTCTCCTCCCGTGTCTTCCTTTTGCCTGAGAGGAGGCTTTTTATTCTTTAGCAGCATCATTTCGTTCTGATTCCTTTGGAAGAAATTACAATAGGTGCAGTATGGTAGGAGGGGAAGTAGGACAGAAAGCTGCATCTCCTTGTAGCCAAGCAGCGGGCAGAACAATGAAAGACTTGATGAGTTCAAGTATGCTTTATGGAGATCCAAAAGCAATTTGAGGATGTTTTCCCAGTACCCATTTAGGCTGTCACTGTAGTATCTGAGCATATCCATTTTAGTGGATTTATCTTCCCAGTCCCCTGCAATGAGGTAGGAATGCTGTTGCTCGCTTTGATAAATGGAGAAGAGGGAGTATGACTTGGCCAGGGTTATGTGCCACGCTTGTGGCAGAGATGTGAGTTGATTCCAGATCGTCTGTGGCTCAGGCTCCTTCCAGCCTCCTTAGGTTAAAAAAGGAGCTGAACCTCTGACACGGGAGAAACATTCAGTGCTGTGAAAAGGTAGAGAAACAAGCAATAAGGGAAATAGAGCTGTGTTAATGGTCGCTGTTGTGCTAATGGACCGCTAGTGAAAACCAAGTACCTTGCTATTGCTCATCTCAGAGGATGCTGTTAAGTACTTTAGGCACAGCTGTCATTTGTTTAAGGGTTTATTGCAATTTAATGCCTTGGGCTGTGGAGCTTAGCAGTTCTAGGGTCACCACCCGTCCTCTGTGGTGGTGGTTGTTGGGTTTGGAGGGGAGAGATGAACCACTGGAGTCAGCGACAGTCAACCAAGCTGTTGCTGCTGACCATAAGATTTTGCTCATCTTCCCAGCCCAAATGAACAGACTATCATGCTCATCCTAGATACATGCTCGAGAAGCTGGTCAGTGTAGTACATGAACATACGTGAACAGGAGCGGTAAAATGTTGATATTACAATTTCTTTCCTTACCTTCTTGAAACAGCTGGTCAAAGGGCTGCAGCAGGAGCTGAACCGGCTATACACACTTTTCTGCTCCCGGAATCCAGAGTTTGAGGAGAAAGGAGGGAAGGTCTCGATTGTGTCCCACTCGCTGGGCTGTGTCATCACCTACGACATCATGACTGGCTGGAACCCCGTCAGGCTTTACGAACAGTTGCTGCAGAAGGAGGAGGAGGAGGAGCTTGAGGACCGTTGGATGAGCTATGAGGAGCAACATTTACTTGAAGAACTTTACATAACTAAACAACGGTAATGCATCCACTTCTCATTATTAAAGGAGAAAACCACATCCTTAGATGACACCCTTTGAGTGTTTCCAGAACCCGTCATGGCTGTTATCTTTTGTGGCTGATGTTCTTCTGCTGGTGACGAATGGCAGTGGTAAATGCTAAACACAGGACTGAGCAGGCTCAGGAAGCTGGCACTGCTAATAGGAGCTCTGAATCCACATCCTACGGGCTGTACCAGAACTGAGCAACTAGCTACTGCCCACTGACCAGATGCACTGGGAGCAGATCATAGCCGGGAAGAAAGGCGAATGTCAGGCCATTAGCTCTCCAGATACTTGAGGAGAAACACAACAAAGTAGCTTGCAGGTGGGCAGTGAGCAGCAGTACTGAGCAGAACCTGAGCAGTGACATTTCTAAGTTTCTAGAGGAAAATGAGAAGTTTTCTCCTAGGCTCAGCTTGGAAATTGAGCTCCACCAGCTGGATACAGATGTTGTAATTGCTGTGACTGGGTTTATGGGGTTACTACTCTGCTGCGGATCATTTACCAGCTTCTTCCTGCTGCCATCTAGAAATGTTCATGCTGTTGGGAGCGTGAAGCAGCACTGCCCACTGTGACAAACAGGACCTCAGTTTCAGCACCTTGCAAGTGTTGGTAGGGATTCTCAGTGTTAGAATCATAGAATCATAGAATTGTTTAGGTTGGAAAAGACCTTTAAGATCATCCAGTCCAACCATTAACCTACACTACCAAGTCTACTCTAAGCCAATCAAGGGTAGACTAGACTAAACCATGTCTCAAAGTGCCACATCTACCCGTTTTTTGAACACTTCCAGGGATGGTGAATCCACCACCTCTCTAGGGCACCTCTCTTAGGGCACCTTGCAGATCATCGTGATGTCTCCACAGTGTTAAGGTGACTTCCCTTCTTCCCTGAAGATGACTTCCCTTCTTCCCTTCCCTGACTTCCAGGTTCTAACCTGGATATCGAGACGCTATGAGACACTCATAGATAGAGAATCTGATAATAGTAGCTTGAGCTTCAATCTTTCAAGTGGTAGGTGAGGATAAATCATGATCACAGTTCTTTTTGGTTCCTACTTGAAACCTATCTTAGTATTGGCGGTACTTTGGAAGCATTAATATAGCATCAGATCTCCTGCGGCGCTCGAAATCAGTATGTGAGTGTTGTGCTTTAGCCCCAGTCGGCAACCAAGCACCACACAGCTGCTCGTGCACCCTCCTCCCACCCTGGTGGGATGCAGGAGAGAATCTGAAGAGCAAAAGTAAGGAAACACGTGGGTTGAGATAAGAACAGTTTAATAATTGAAATAAAATATAATAATAATAATGAAAAGGAAAACAACGAGAGAGAATGAGAGGAGCAAAACCTAGGGAAAACAAGCTCACCACCCGCCGCCGGTTGAGATGCAGCCCATCCCTGAGCAGTGATTGCCACCCCCTGGCCAACTTCCCCCAGGTTCTATATGAGCACGATGCCATATGGTATGGAATAGCCCTTTGGCCAGTTTGGGGCAGCTGTCCCGGCTGTGCCCCTCCCAGCTTCTTGTGCACCTCCTCGCTGGCAGAGTATGGGAAGCTGAAAAGTCCTTGACTTGGTATAAACACTGCTTAGCAACAGCTAAAACATCAGTGTGTTATCGCATTATTCTCATGCTAAATCCAAAACACAGCACTATACCAGCTAATAGGAAGAAAATTAACTCTATCCCAGCCGAAACCAGGCCAGTGTGTAATCAGGACATCTCTATCAGCTGCACAGCTGGATAAAGTGCAATCTTTCTGAGATGAGGGAAGTAAGAAACCTAATGAAGTAGTCCAGTGGTAAGATGACCCTTCAGGCATATCGTTAGCATATGATCAGGGAAAAATTGCCATTTTCACACTCAAGCTCCAGCTCCTTAGGCATCCTCTGAAGTGCTTCAGGTTGCATCTGCAGTAATCCAAGTATCGTTTGACTCTGGCACTTCTGTATAGCTAGAGTGGCTCTCCATTTCGTGAGCCATCTTAGTGCAATTCAGTCTGAAATAATAGCACGGGTACTCCTGACATCCTAGAACTTTTGCATTTCTGGTGTTTTTAAGGATGGCAAACACATAGAGGTTGTCTGGAAATGCTTATGCCTGAGTAGGGTGTGTCGTAGCATGTATAAATATTCTACATTGTAGAATAACATACATACAGCATGTGAGGTTGTGTGTTGGAACCCTTCGACAACAGTTCACAGGAATCAAGAATTCTGCATGTCTTCTTTTTTAAGACTGAATCGTGCTCATTAAAGCATACAAACTTTTTTGAAAGTACTGCTCTTTGGGAAGTTTCAGCTCCAGACTTGCTTCTTTTAACCAGGATGGCAGAAGTTAAGCTTAACGTATTTGTTTCTGTAATGCTTTTGTGGAACTTGAGGAGATGGTGTTTTCCTGCTCCGAAGAGGGCATAACGTTCTGGTGCTGGGGTCCGTATGAGGTGCTTTATATTGTAGCTGCTTTTTAAATTCAGGCTAACTAGAAGAACAGGTGAACAACCTTTTTTAATGATAGTTGAAAGGGTGGGACACTGTCCTCCAGATATTCCACCACCATACAGAACTCCATAATGCTTGGACCATGGAGTTTCCTGTGGCTTTTTTTGAAAAAAAAAACCAAAAAAACCAAACCAACCAGGTGATTTGGTTGCTAAAACACCAAGGAAACAGGAGGTGAGTCACCTACTTCTAAGGAAGGAGGGTGGGCAGGTGCTTGGGGTGGTGAACAAGGAAACTGTCATGTCTTGATTGATTCCTTCTGTGATCAGAGAAACAGGATTTCACATACATTGACTCTTAATCAATTGGACTGCCTCCAAGAAATACTGGTGCCATCACTCTCTCTTCCCAGCAGACAAAACTGTTGGAC